AAGTTGCTTCATTATAAAAAGGTACACTGAGAAATAACTTTCTTCTTATATAAGTGTGTATTTTTTTTACAATACAATAAATGAGGCGCATCTATAGAGATGCTTATGTTGTTATGGAGAATTTTCGAATAAAAAAAATATATCTTTTTAATACGCTATTTGATGATGGATGAAAAAATACATTTACCATAATTTGAAACTTAATTTAAAAAGAATAGGCAAAATAAAAGGCATCAATCATTTATATATTGTTTATGTTATTGTATATATTGTTTATGTATAATTTATATAACGTATAACTTAAGACAACGTTTCACTAAGAAGTCCTAGAGTCCAGAGAAGTATCTTTTATGAGTGTAATGTTTCTCGCTGACTCAAAATTACATCACTATATTTAAAAAGTAATTATAATTGTTTTTATGTTTTGTTTGAAAATAATTTAATATTTTTATATTATTTTATTACTGCTTTAATTAATTAACATTTTCTTAACCTAAACATGAAAAATGGAACCTTTGGCTACTTTTCTTTACCATATTTAAAGATATTAAACAGTAAAGTAATATTACAGACGGGACTTTTAATTAAATTGAATTCTCTTCTGGTAAACTCATCGTGCAGTATAAAACATACATTGCTTTGATTTCAATTTAATTAATAAAATTAAAGAAATGTCAGAAAGAGCAAAACAAAAGCGCACTTTGTTTTATTTATAATAAGAACACAAAATGTGGCTTCAACATACTTTATACAAAATCAAATATTTCCGTCTGGATTCTCCAACTAAAGATATTGTTGCTTTTTATTTTCACTGAGCTTCAAATTTAATTCAACTCAAATTTAAAATGTACGCAAATTGACTTGATTTCTAAGGAATAAATTGAATTTCTTAAACCTTCTGTTACGAGATTCGGATTTGAATTTGAAGTGATTCCTTCAATGAATTACAATTTGTATGCACATCCAAATAAAAAATGTTTAGCATACTTCAATTATGTTACAAAGTTAGCTTATGATTTGAATACATTCCAAATTTATTCTACATTTCAAATTTGTTGAATCAAGAGTTTTATTCAAAATTTTCTATGTAACGATGCTTAGAATAAATACTTTTTAATATAAGAACTTAAGTTCAAAATAGGCTTTGCATACTAAAAATCTTGTAACGATTAACAGAAATTGCAATATCACATAAATACATAATTCCCGTTTTACCAAGCCGTTACATCCATCTTTTGAAGTTACTGTAATAATAGCGAAAAATCTTTTCTATAGAGTTCACCCCATCTCGTATTAGGAACAAGAGTGCTATTAAAAGCTCGCTACCATCCATGTACGACAACAAAGAAAGTAGCGCCAAAACGGTCACAGCGTATTAAATTCAAATACTTGAGATGCCTCAAAGTAAACAAGCATCTAGGAAAAATATTGCTTCCTAGAGACTTTTGTTATTGTGTTCTAATCTTCTCTTATTTAATAAACTATAAAGAAGAAGACTTCTTTATATTATTCTTTTAATTATTTATTTGATTCAACTTACATAGACTTATTACATTATGTTGTATATTTGTTAGTAAGGCTTATAATTATGTTAATAAAATATTAAATCATAAGAAAAATTGTTTAGTGGCTATGATCAGGTTAATTAACTACCGTGTTAGTGCGTGCGAAACAGCAGAGCAGTGGTTCAATTAGGCGTAGTCTATCTTGTCTATTCCCAATCATTCTTACTATAATGTAAGGACTTTCGGCCACCCTACTTGCTAAAGAAGTACACTTTGCTTCTAAGTAAACTACATGTGTTGTAGCGATCATCGTCGATGCACTATACTGCCAAGGCAACTCCACCAGCATCCTAAATACGTTATTATATTGAACACGGAAAGCTCAGTACGACCTTAGCGTACACAGATCCCACAGGCTACACATGTAAAATGAAGTACATTACGCTCTAAAAAACGTTATTACGTTAATATCCAAACTAGTTATCGTGAATTTCTATAGAGTTATGTAATTGTGTTAAGTTCATTTAGCTATTATTGTGGCTAAGAAAATAGGCCTATAATTACTACTGTCAGTGAGTTTACTAGTTTTGTTTCTAATTATGGAAACAACTATAGTTCCCATCATCTCATTTGGCAAGTAACTAGGGCTCATTCAAAAGTTCTATAAGGTAGTTAAAACTCCAAATAGACGTGGATCTACAAACTGGAGGTGTTCATTACTAAAACAGTCGCTTGACCAGGTCACTTGTGATGTTTTTTATAGTTTGCCCAACTTCTTTAGAGATAATTTTTATTTTTAATTTATCTGCCTATCTCAAACTTTATCACAACTAGAGGCACGCCACACAGGTAATTATTTTTTTAATAGTTATCAATTTCATATGTGTCGGCTGTTAGCTTGTATATTATTGCTGTACATCTAAAAACTACAAAAAAACCGTTTTTATAGTGATGTCCCAGGAATTTCATTTTAATTTGGTCTTTGTACTGACATAACTTAAAAAAAAAGACTTCAACATTTTTTTGGACTAAACACTTTCAGTTATCTTAAGAAACGTGTATTTAACGAAAAAATTACAACTTTCTTAGAATCATATATTATATACATACGTATATTGGGGATATAATATTTATTGGAAAGGAGATTACGATAAGAAAAGAGACTTATGATAAGAAAACCAGGATCTATTGATGATATCCGAGAAAAAATAACGGCAACCTTGTAAAATTTTAGCTAATTCAAAATCACTCAGTGATTTACCTTCGTATCTCACGTCCCTGTGTGATTAAAATTACTGCCCTATGTCCACCAATTTAAAATATATAAAATTTGTTTTTTATTATAGTCACGAAGGTTTTATATTTTTTATATAAAAAATTATGTACTTAAATAAAAGTATGTACAACTAAATTTATTATTTATTTATACAAAAGATTAATGAGAAACAGAGTTCTGTATGTACTGTGTAATTATTTGCTCTCCTTATTACAATTTTCATTCACATCTCAATAGCAGCTGTTTGGTAACATTATTTTCTGTCATTTTAATACTATTTTATTTGGGTTCTATAAGAAATATTGTAGAAAAGTAAATTAAATTAAGAAAAAAGAATTATCAATTTAAATATTTTTCTATTAGTTTTGAAAATAAAATGGTTTTGCTCGTATAATTTTTCCTAACCGTAGGACTTTTTAAAGTATAAAAAGAAAACGAAATCAATAAACAAAAATATTAATAATTTTTTTAAGAAAATTAACAGACACATTAAGTATTAAAACATAAAAGAAAATAGTTGTAATATAATAAATTATCATTTTAAATATATTATTTCATCATTTATTTAAGTCTCTGAGCTCAGTTTTTTATTAATAAATAAATTAAAAATATAAAAGTGACTATACCCACGGGAATTCCTACAAAAAAAAAACTCTTAACCTTAATTGGAATATAATTAGTAAGTACTTGTGTTTACATGCGTAGTTCTTTTGCACGAATTAATAACTTTAAATATAAATTATTTACTGATTATAGGTAATTAGAAACATTTAAATGTAATTGTTCTCGTTTAAGTCTAATCAAATAAAAGCTTCAGTATAAAAAATCTACCCATACTGTAAAATAGCTATAAAAATAACTTTTTCGTCATCTTGGATGCCGAAATATGGGACGAAGTATTAATTCAAAAATTAAACGATATATTGTCATCACCAATAAAATTGTATTTAAAAGTTGAAATGAATCGGTTAGAGAAAGGTTTCAAAATTGAGTTGCACAATTACAGCCAAGCAAATTACATATATGCATTTAAATTTAAATTAAAGCTTGTGAAAGAGTCAGTTGTATTTGTTTTCTGCTTTCATAGCGATTATAATATAACAATCTCTAACCATCTGGATATGAAAATTTAAATCCTTCCTTCTCTTTGATATTATAAATTCAACATAGGAACCTTATTAGATCGCTACCACATTTTCATACGGAGATAGAAACATAAATAGCTACGTTTTGGGGATTACGTTTTATTACAAAGATACACTGTTATTGCTCATATCTTTTATTCTCTTTATTTAATACATTTATTACAAACTGGTTTCTTAGTCTAAAGGAAAAAATGAACTTAATAATAAACTTAACGATAAACCAACATAAAAATATGTTTATTTAAAAACCAGATATAATTTAAAAATAAACAATACTCCTAGTCTAATGATATAACATTAACTGCGACTACATATCATTATTCTATTGTACAATGTTCGAATAGGAATTAGAAACATTCTAATATATATAATATATTACAAATATTCAATAAAGTATATCATTTCTTTTTTTTTGCAGACTGCGGTAAGGTAATATAATATAGTAAATTTGTTGAATATGGTATACCGACGTTAACTAGACACTGTGTCACCGAATATTTGGAACCATTTCAGTTTTATCAAACAAAATGTTTAAAGAGGAGATAAAATAAAAATATCTCAGTGGTCTAAGTGACCCAAAGTCGGTTAAGGAAATAAGATGAGGTTGATAAGTCAGGATAAAGAGCATATAGTATAATACGGGTTAAATATATACAGTCCGATGTATGATTTCGTTGGATTATTATACCCTGGTAAAAATAACATTGTAACGTAAAAAGTATTTGTCACAATATACGAACATTTTCATGTCACACATCCCTCGTCATTCATCCTTTAACTAATAAAGTCCTCAAATGTAACAAGTCATGAAGAACGAAAAATTTGGTAAAAATATTAATATCATTCGAATTTAACTTTTCCAAGAGCTCGTATCTGTAATGTTATCAACAATTACTTAAATTAAAACTATTTACATGGCATTTTATTTAGCGTGATATTTCAAATAACAATTTAATTAATTATCTTATTACATTTAATAAAATTACTTTTAATATTTAACAGTATTAGATTATGTAATAAATTTAATAAATATTTACAATTCATTATATCGTCTAAAATGTTGTCTTTATTGCTTTATGTTACAAATATTAAATACAATGTGACACTTGTAACGTAAAGAACGAAGGAAAGTGAAAGTTCTTTGGCATTACCCTGCATTGCAGCGGGAGTCTCACCTGAAAATGAAAATTAATGTTCACGGAAGAAAAATAGGTTGTGAAATTATAACTATTATTATCATTGAATCGCGTGCTGAGTCTGAAAACTATTTTCACATTACGTTATTTTAATATAATTCAGTTTGAAAACCTGTAATTTTATTTTCCAAGCTAAATAAATAAACTGTCGGATCCATAGTTACCGAGCTAATAAACCACTTGAAGAGAACGGAAACTCGACATATATGAAACGAAATAAACATTCATTAAAATACTATTATATACGGGTCGGCGAGAAATAATTTCATTTATATGAAACCGAGTCACGAAAATGCTATTTTTATAGTTACTTTTGTATTTTGTCGTCACATCGTTAAATTATAAAGTGTATACTGTTTTGTAATATTATTAAACTTTGTTCGTTTGAAAGTATTAATTATTATTAATTTCATTTCACTTATGACATGTGTACGAAATTGGACTTTTAATTATAAATTATTTATAGTAATACAGTATATTGGTAATTGCATGTCAAAAAGTATTTGATGTGTATTAAATAAAAAAATCAAACATATTACGAGTATATAGCGTTCATACTATTCATACAAAATATTTTATTACCGAGCCCATCACATGGACTGTACGAACTCGGCAGAGCAGAGCATAAATGGTATTGCCTTATATAAAGTTTTATGGTATTGAATTTATAATTCAGTAACAATTCTAGTTCTCTAAATTTTAAAGTAAATGAATGATTTCAAGTTAATAATTATACATAGATATGAAAATCGTGGTTTAGTATAATTTTTAGGGAAAGGTAAACTTAAAGCATTCCTTAAAATGTTTCAACAAATTTCTTACTGTTTTAATTTCTTTAACAGCTTCCTTGTCATTATGGTCTACTATTATTTGATAGTTTCTTATTAGATTTTTTTTATTGCATCCCAATATAAATTTGTATCATTACCATTGAAAGTCAACTATAAATATCCTACTAACTCGTTTACTCCCTGTAGAATATTGATATATTTCTTATTAATTCCTGCTTTAAATAAAGCCCTTACCTGTGAGCACATGTACTCTAGCTGTAGCTGATTGAGCATTATCAGGTACACACTGATAAGCTCCGGCGTCTGATGTTCGAGCAGCTTGAACCAACAATCGGCTGCTACTGTGGATTCCTTTTTCGGTGACTAGCGATATTCCACCCCGGGTTGAATCGAAGTTAATAGTCTGTATGAGAAAATTACTCCGATGTATTTAAATTAAAATTTTAAATGAACCAATCATTTTGCATTTCATCTGGATGTCACAAAAATGTTCGATCTCAATTTATATTTATATATATTGGAAATACAAGCTTTATTGGATAACTGTGAATTAATGTGGTTATTTAACTAGAAATAAATTATTGTATTGTACCTACATACATGTTTAAATAATATAACAAATTTCATTCACTAAGTTATCCAAGGAAATTTGTAAAGCGTTTAATTTACCAATTTACACGTAACATTTTCTTACTTCGTTTCCTATGACAAGAAAAAAATAATTGTTTATATGTTATTATATTTGTACTTTCCTACTTGTTAGTGCCTCTAGTTTTAGGACGAAGATATATGTATATTTAAAAATATGGTTCCAATATGTAGTGTCCCAATATAATTAAAAATAGTTTAAAAGCTGGTCTGTTAATAAACAAATATCACATTAGTAGATATTGGTATCAAAATGTTGTAAATGAGTGTTACATAGTGAAGCATTCCTTACATAATTGGAATATATAGAGAGCAATCTGTTATGTAAAGGAAGTCTATACAAAACGTTGAGATGACATCAATAGATGTCAATACAGAGATCAAGTATCTGTTTGAGGGATGCTAAGAGAAATCTATTCCTTTGATCAGTATATAAGTGATTCATCTTCGAAATTGAATTCACGAGATAACGTAGCTATAAAGATTATGTTCAAGAAAAGAAAAACATTTTTTTTCTCATTAAACTTTCTATCTCCCTTTCCATGATGCCAGAAGAGAATTATTGATAAAATACCCTTGCTTACCTAATGCAACGTGCAGCTGGCTAAAAGCACTTAGATATAGTTTGAACAAAACAATCTTTTTGTATTGTGTTTATGTTTATAGACTGAAGACTCTTAAACTTAAAAAATGTACATTTTACATAACTACCAAGCCTCAGAAACTTGTTTTTAAGACAACATTAAGACGCTTCTTCTTAGAGCGGTTTCAATATTAGTTTGTTTAACAACATTGAACATTAAAACTTCAGATACATATTGTTGGAACTAAATATCTTTGGAACCACAAGAAGATTAAAATATACATTTTTTTTGCAAAAGTGTATATACGACTATATACTACTTTACAGGTTTTATTGTTGAATAGATAAATAATGATAATCTTAACAACTTACTTTTCCTCTGTGTGTCCAGTTAATAGTACTTGGTGGTTCAGGAGTATGTCTTACTATACACGTCAGATTAATTGTAGAGCCGGCGTAGATGAACAGATCCGGGCCACCCATTATTTCGGTTTCGGGTTCTATTAATAAATTAAGCATTAATAAAGAATAATGTTATATATATGTTATATTATATATATGTTGTTAATGCATGGGTATGCATTTCAATTCACTCATATTTGAAATATATAACTAATTTTTTATATAGTGAAAGAAAAGTCTAAATAGAGCTTGGTGTTTATAAAGAAAATGATTTAAAATTGTAAAAATACGAAAGGCTTTGATAAATATAGAAAAAAAAATATAGATTCAAACTATATATGTCTTCTTTTTGTTACAATTCTGAATAAAATGATTGTAAACATTTATTCAACTAATTTCATAACTCTAATGAAGTTAAATCTCTTACCTACAATACTGAGATATACCGCATGACCAATAGGTGGCGTAGTGGAAATCTGGCATTCATATTGTCCAGAATCTCTCCGCTGAGGACTACGGATTCTTAATGCCCACTCCTCTGATCGAGGTTTGTGTTGTGCTTCAAATCGTTGGTCTGAAGTGTATGTGTACCGACCAACCGTGAGCAGATGAATATCTCGATGACGCACCCATGATACCTTTAGGAAATGTGTAGTAATATAAGTATATACTGTGTGTTTTACATATATAAAAATAATTTCCTGGTAAATCTAATTAAACAGAAAAGAACGCCTTCAAATATGTCATAAAAACCCATTGAATTTTCAGATAAATAACACGTATGTTATTTTTTTTCTTTATTTTGTAACATAATATTTAATTTAAATATACATAAATTACACTAAATTAGATTCTGCCTACTGCATAATGGATAGTGTTTTATTTCTACCAGATGAGGTCAAAACTAAATACGAAATGTCTTTGCCAACTTTATTTTAAAATAACGTGAATAAAAAAGAGAAAATCTAAAATTACAGTTTAAAATTTACTCGTATCTAAGTGATCTATAGATATATTTATATCTATTGTGGTGTCAATGAGCCTTTTCAATGTAATAATTAAAACTGACTGGCAAAATTCACAAATATTTGTTCAAGAAAATACTTTGTACAAAGGAATTCTTAATACAAAAGTCTTTCAAAACAGCGACGAAAGGCGAAACTAAGTATCATTGGAGCAGTAAGTTGAATAACTAACGCTTTAATTTGTTCAGCTTAAAATTTTACTTACATAATCATACTTTGGCATTCCAACCACACAGTGTTGTAAATGGAAAAGTTTAAAGAGATTGAAAAGTAACCCAAATAAAAATAAAGCAATATGGGTCACAACACGAACACGCGAAAAATAAACTTATCATGGAATGAACTGTAATCAGAATTTTCCGTATTTTCTCCACATTACAAATAATTTATTTGGGTTAATTACTAATTTGGTGCAGTTTAACTTATTCGGATATAAAATATAGTTTAACTGATTTTTATTTAAGATAAATATCTATACTACGTGAGGTTATCAAAGAAATTGTTATTAATAATTTTATTCTTTTAAAACACATTATATGAACTATAATTTTATAAATATACGGTTATTTTCTATTAAGTTGTGAATTTTGATACAGTTAATATTTGGATAAGGTAAATCGATTGCCAAAGCCAGAAGCGTAGATTTTACTATAGATATAATAAAATATCAACTTAACTCGAGTAATATCTTATTCCATTTTAGCAAAATAATAGGTTTGCGATCCTGGTTTCTATCTTAAATAGTCGTACTTACAGTGCGATTTTGCAAATTTTTCACTTTACACAATAAAGTGACAGAGTGTCCAACTAGACCCGTTACATTTTCTGGAGTGCTGGGATCGAAATAAGGTGCCCCAGGAGTTTGGGGCCAATCTTCTAAAAATTCTGTACGAAAACGACGAGAAGATTCCGAAACAGTGTTTTGTTCTCTCGGTCGATTGCTGCTACTATCTTGATGACATACTAAAAACACGTTTAAAACCAAATGTTAATGAAATTAATTCCACAGTTTGTATATGGTAGGAACAACCTTAGTTTAAAATATGTAATTAATAATTTACGAACGGCATAAGCAGATTGTATTGAAGAACCAAAAAAAAACAAAAATTCAATGGTATAAAACAGAATTAAAAGTTATGTTTTCGAAAAATCTCCTCTCATTAGTAGGCAAGAAAAACTAGATCTTCGCTCAGCTTCATAATGTTAAATTCTTGCCTCAAACTTTACCCTGTATTTTTATTATTATTTTTTACTTCAGCTAGTCGCTATCTTTTTAAATAATTTTTATAATAAGTAAATTTAATGTTTCTAGAATTAAAAAAGAAATAAGATCTTCAGATATAATTATATTGATATTGCGCTTATAACATTTTGAATAATGAGCATACATTGTATACATTTTTAAACACAAATAATAAAACTATTGTATTTTGTTCAGAAAAATTCATAGGACCTTTCCCAAATATGTTACGGTTCTAAAACTCCCTATTGCCAAGATAGTTACAACTTAAGAATTCCTCGGTTTTAAATTAACTAAGAAGCAAAAAGGGAAATGTAAATATTGTTACTATTGTAGAAAGTAGATTGTCGCTTTTATTTTAATCAAATTAAACATAGCACATATGAGGACTCAATGGCAATTTTAAGGTATTTATAAATAATCATCTTCAACAATATCTTTATAATTGCGAATGTTCTATTATTTTCTGTTATCCATCAATACATATCTTTGCCTATTGTCAACTCATATCGCTTATAGCATTGTACAATTGTATTCGTATTTGATTGATGATATTCAGCAGAATAAATTGTTGGTCTGAATACTTTGAATTGATAGACTTGGATGTTGGATTATCATGAAATTATCATAAACCGCCTTTTTATGGACAAACATTATTACATTAGTATATCTGGATATTTCTTACATTTATTGAAGAATATTTATAGTTGATGTAAATAAGTTTTACATATAATTAAGTAATAAAACATAAGTTTTAGTTTTAATAAGGAGTCTTTTATTAAAAGCACGGATCTTTAAATGAAAAATTGACCTCAATGTAAAACATTATTCTTCCTCTTTAAAATGAACGACCTGTAATCAGATTAAAAATTAATCAGGGTATTCTAAAGAACTGGTAAGAAATAGCGTGGAAAATATGTATGTCCCGGGCGAGCAGACATAAATCCTGATTGTCAGCTTGATTAAGTGTTAAATTTTAAATTATGACCCCTCAGAGCTCAGTGACGTGACGGTTTACAGCTTTAGTTATGGAGATGATTTAACGAGTGAAAAATTGCTAGTTTAATAAGTTTTTTCTTACAATTTCAGAAAAGATTTCGTCATTTGTATGTGGTTCGTTCTATTTATTTTGGTGTCTTCAATTCTTTAACATTGCAATAACAGTACTTCAACGTTTTAATTCTTCAACTTTGCTTTAATGTATATGTACCTCACAAATTTTAAGAAAATCTTAGTTTGCTCGACAGTTAATCTTTGAGCATATTTACAAACAAAAATAAATTTATTGCCCTATAAATAAGCCAGAAGAGTATTTACAAGCAGTAACTTTAATATAAATGAGTTAAAATGAGTTCTTAAGGATCTAAATCGCGTTCAACATTTTGTAGAATAGGACACAAGTGCCTATAACTTACCAATAATGCACGAGAGAAAATGGACCGTAAAGAGGCAGGCGGTTGTAGCACGCGCCATCGCTCACAACCCTCAGGGGTAAGAGTTCATCGTTCCTGTAAACAAAGCCAACGTTAATAACTCCTCAAAGAAACCGTGCTGGTCTTTTGTTCGTGAGAATAAACTAGACTGTTCCAAAAAGTATGTAGGTTATTTTATGTTGACATTTCATTATTTATTTATACAATTTATTATGTATTAGTCATAAAATATAAAAAACATAATTAATTTTCCATCTAAATTAATGAAAATTCTTCGTTTACACATACTTAACTGTGACCGATGTATTTTGTGTATTTACGAAATTTATGTAATTTGGATATAAAAGTGAGGACATATATACTCGTATATTTACCATAGAGAAGACATCTTAAATACTAACCTATAACTTCCTGTTTAATCACTAGATAAGCCACTAGGTATGATTTTATGATTTTAGGTATTTATCATTTACTGCATCACAAATTACCTGATAACCAATTTTGTTGATATTAGCGTGTTTGTTCGACAGACATAGATGTATAAGTGGGGACTTTCAATTAATTACATCTATTGCTGCAGATTGAAATTAATTGTAAACATATGTACTTTATTTAGCAATATTCAAGGACGATTCTTTTTTCAACTATAATCAAAATAGATTGTCAATTCAAACGTGTATTTCATCTGTTTAAATTTATTTTTCATTTATCGAAAACAAAAAAAAACATTTTCTTTTAATAATTTTCTGTATAAAAATAATTTTCTTTTTTATCTTTTAGTGACCTAATAAAATAATATTATGCGTAAAGTAATATAATTAATGGGTTAAAGGTGAAGTCAAATTTAAAAAAATATTAATTACCATTATCTTCTACCGACTAATGGGTCTCTGGCAAGGAAAGCAAAAACTCACTTTAAGTACACCGTAACTTTAACTTAACGTAAGCCATTAGTCTAGTCTTTGTACAAACGTGGTGGCGTTTTTCGAATAATATAACGCTCAATGCATTCTTTTTGCCTTGCAAAATATCCCGCGAAGCGACATTTTATCAGCAAGACATTATTTTAAATCGTCTTAAAAATGAGTAATGTTCCAAGCACTGAATCTCCAATCCAACCTATTATCAATTTCAGTGTCATCTTTTTATTTTTTTCCTTTTTAACTTCAAGCTACAAAGAACAAACCTCAACGCTGTGTATACTAATATTTAATAAGATGAAAGCAGATTAAGACGTGTTTGAGATTTATCTCAAGAAGACTTTGAGTACTTTAGAACTTATTGAAGCAATGTTGCAAATGACAAAAACTCATAAAAAGACCCAAAAATTTTCTTGATGATAACCTACAACCCTAAGAAGTCTGAAGGGAACTCAGTCAGTTCTTTGTGTACTTTTTAGGAACGTGTTGTACGGGGAATGATCTCCCACAGGACGCATTTCCTGGAGCTTTAATATGGTGCTTTTCAAACAATGAGTGTTTCGGCCTATTACTCAGAAATAAGGTCAGTAATCCATTTGTAGTTCTGCCTTTGATGCATATGTCTAACTGTCATATGTTTTAATCTAATCATCTGCATTCCCATTACCAACATAACTATGAAATTATTATATATTAATTAAACGTATGAATTCTTTGAAAAACCGAACTTTTCGTAGAATCTTACACCATTTCCTTTTAAATTCAACTAGCCAAAGTTTTGATTTAAAATGTTCCAATAGATATACTTTTAAATAGGACTAAGGTAAAGCTTTTTTTGTATTAAACTTATACTGAGTGTGCCATAAGTTCTTTTAACTGAAAAAAAATATTTAAAAATGGGTTTAACGCTTTTGCGCGTTATCATTTAAATGAAACTAATATTTTTCAGATTATACTACGCCTATTTTATAATAATTACATTTCGTCTGTCCATGCTGAAAAGTAACTGAAACCTCGGGTGTATGTAGTTTTTACAATGAGACGAAACCTCTTTTTCATTCAATGGAATCAGTCCATCGTGTTCAAAATATGTGTAGTATAATCCGTAAAATAAAAGTTCCATTTATCTTAAAAAAAATATGTAAAATTTGAATTTTAAATTAACTCAAACAGACCGTAGGTGATTCCCCCGAACTTCGAATTCTATTCCTGGGCACCATTTGAACTTTATTTCTATATTTTTAACACAATTTATATCATATTGTGAATATTGTTCGCAATTATAAAATTGATACCCATAGAAAACAAAGCTACAGTAATTATAAGTCTATACTTTCATTTAAAAATATATGTATATTATAGAATTATATGAGTATATAATATATTATATAAGTAAATAAATAAAAATAAATAAAATAAATAAAAATAATTTATTTCATTCAAAGTAGTACACTTGTTTATACATCGTTGGGTACCCCCTTTTAAGTATATCAATACCTGTAGTAGGAGGCCCCGCTCTTCCCTTATGCAATCAGCGGTAAGTACTACGAGACAACAGTTACAAAATATACTATACTTTACATAAAATTTTTCTCATACTAAAACTTAAATAATAACAATCACGGTAATACAAAAACAAAATTTTATCTAAAATGTGTATTATTATAACAGTATTAATAAGTGAGGATGTGAGAGTATCTGAGGCGTAAGGCTAAGCATGTGTTTTTGTGAGTAGTGTTTGTCGGTGTGTGTGTGTGTGTGTGTGTGTGTGTTGTGTATGTATAAGGGACTGTATGAATGCGTGCGTTTGTGTTTGCCTTGTTTATTCGCAACAGTTTGTTAGGTGATGTATTCAAGCAGGGATTCTATTTCTTTATAGTTACGTTTTAACAGCCAGTCTGTTAAAGCTTTTTTGCAATCATAGTATGTACTGGAATATATGTCCACTTCCCGGTTTATTTTATTAAACAAATAAATTGATTGTCTTGAGTATTGTCTTGAGGCAAATTTACTTTTGATAAATTCATTATATGGCACTGTGTACTTCCTGCGTTTATTTGTTAATGGAGGTAAATATTTCAAGCTTTTATGGAGCCTTAATACTGTTGCTATTATATAAAGTTTTCTCACCGTAAGTAGACCACTTATCTCGTACAGTGCAGTGGTAGGGAATCTATATGGTTTGCCGTACATCACCCTTATTAAACATCTTTGAGCTCTTTCCAGTTCAAGGAATCTAGTCTTAGCTGCTCCACCCCAAACAGGAATGCAGTAGCTCAAGATCGATTGTACTAAAGCTATGTACACTTTATTTAGTAAGGGCTTTGCACATACATACCGTAGAGATTTAAAAATCCAGATAAACTTTCTAACCCTAGTTATCATCAGTTCC